GATGGACACTTAGTCCTAGACTCTGCCCCACATAGATGGACACTTAGTCCCAGACTCTGCCCCACATAGATGGACACTTAGTCCTAGACTCTGCCCCACATAGATGGACACTTAGTCCCAGACTCTGTCCCACATATGGACACTTAGTCCCAAACTCTGTCCCACATAGATGGACACTTAGTCCCAGACTCTGTCCCACATCGATGGACACTTAGTCCCAAACTCTGGCCCACATATGGACACTTAGTCCCAGACTCTGTCCCACATAGATGGACACTTAGTCCCAGACTCTGTCCCACATATGGACACTTAGTCCCAAACTCTGTCCCACATATGGACACTTAGTCCCAGACTCTGTCCCACATATGGACACTTAGTCCCAGACTCTGTCCCACAGAGATGGACACTTAGTCCCAAACTCTGTCCCACATATGGACACTTAGTCCCAGACTCTGTCCCACATATGGACACTTAGTCCCAGACTCTGTCCCCTGAACGTGATACATCATGTCTGTATGAAGGGATCCTGCTGAGCTCTGCCTGTATTTTAACATGAAGTCACTGTTTCCGTCTGAGGGCCTGACCGTAAAAACTCGTGTAGAAACGCAACTAATTTTAAGTCAGAAGGTCTGATTTTGTGATTTTTTTTTATCCTGAATGTTATTTTAGTTGTGATTTTAGACCAGCTTGTGTTCAGAGTGTTGACCAGTGAAGTCACGAACCTCCAGCTTGTGGTTGAGCTGGAACACGGTCTGGGTCTTGTGACAGAGCTGGGCGAAGCAGGAACTCAGACTGGTCATCTTCTGCCGACCCTCGTAGGTGATGTCCACCTGGTCCGGGTCTATCTCCCCGAGGAGCAGGTCCACGTCCACAAAGGCCTTGTCGAACTCTTTCTCCAGAACCTCCAGCCATCGAAACATGGACACCGCCGGGCCGAGGCCTGGGCTGTGTCCCGACGGAGAGCATCCAGCTGAGGCGGACATGTTTCCTGGTACCGCAAAGTCCGGTCCGGACGACAACGGTTCTCTTAGCAGCTCACTTTGGTCAAAAATGTTTCTAAATATTTAATTTTATCAAACACTGCGGGCAAAAAACACAAAATAAGAAAAAAGGTCGTGGAAAGCTGCTTTCTGAGCTGTGGAGCWAATCTGACTGTAAACCCGGAAGTCCCTCCTCAGGGTTTTAAAAAAACTTTATTGGTACAACGTAAAAAGCCAAACAAGAGTAAAATAAACAAAAGCACAACAAATACGTAGAAATTAAACCAGAGAAAAATAAAATACAAAACTTGACAGTTTTTACTAAATTCTGATTGTTTTGTGAATAAAAATGTTTTATAAACGAATTCATTTATAAAACAGATAAAGATGGACTTTTAACAGAACCTGTATAACAGTGTTAGAATAAAAATACACCCCCACGCTTCAGAACA